AAGCCTTCCTTGATCTGTAGTCAGTGGCTCCGCCTAGGCTGGGATGATGTCATCAATCTGCTGCAGGCAGGAGGAAGCATTTCCTCAGTCTCCCCTCCCCCAATGATCAGACTGTACATTGAAACTTTGTAGAAGGAGGAAGCATTTCCTCAGTCTCCCCTCCCCCAATGATCAGACTGTACATTGAAACTTTGTAGAAGGAGGAAGCATTTCCTCAGTCTCCCCTCCCCCAATGATCAGACTGTACATTGTAACTTTGTAGAAGGAGGAGACATGTCCTCAGTCTCTCCTCCCCCAATGATCAGACTGTACATTGAAACTTTGTAGAAGGAGGAGGAGGCATTTCCTCAGTCTCCTCCCCCAGTGATCAGACTGTACATTGTAACTTTGTAGAAGGAGGAGGAGGCATTTCCTCAGTCTCTCCTCCCCTAGTGATCAGTAATCTATACGGGGGGGGGGTGCTGTACTGGGGGAAGGGGTTGTGTATTGAGGGAAGATGTGTACTGGAGGGGGAGATGTGTTCTGGGGGGTGGATGGGGGGGGAGATGAGTATTGGGGGTAAAAATGTGTACTGGGAGGAGATATGTACTGGGGGGGGGGGGGGGGGATGTGTACCTATGTGGAGCTGTACTGGAGGGAGAGATGGAGAGATATGTATTTGGGGGAGATCTTTAGTGGAGAGAGCTGCGCTGGAGGGTTATATTGGGGGGAATATGTACTTGGACTGTGCTGTGGGGAGATGTCTGTACTGCAGAGGTGAGGGGGGGGGGGGCTGTGCTGTGGGGAGATGTCTGTACTGCAGAGGTGAGGGGGGGGGGGCTGTGCTGTGGGGAGATGTCTGTACTGCAGAGGTGAGGGGGGGGGGGGGGGGGCTGTGCTGTGGGGAGATGTCTGTACTGCCGGGGGGGGGGGGGACTGTGCTGTGGGGAGATGTCTGTACTGCAGAGGTGAGGGGGGGGGGACTGTGCTGTGTGGAGATGTCTGTACTGCAGAGGTGAGGGGGGGGGACTGTGCTGTGGGGAGATGTCTGTACTGCAGAGGTGAGGGGGGGGGGGGGGGGACTGTGCTGTGTGGAGATGTCTGTACTGCAGAGGTGAGGGGGGGGCTGTGCTGTGGGGAGATGTCTGTACTGCAGAGGTGAGGGGGGACTGTGCTGTGGGGAGATGTCTGTACTGCCGGGGGGGGGGACTGTGCTGTGGGGAGATGTCTGTACTGCAGAGGTGAGAGGAGGGGGGGGCTGTGCTGTGGGGAGATGTCTGTACTGCCGGGGGGGGGGGGGGGGGGGGGACTGTGCTGTGGGGAGATGTCTGTACTGCAGATGTAGGGGGGGGACGTTGACTCTTTACTGTGGGGAATGATTTGTACTGGGGGGGGCAGGGGATCTGTACTAGTGGGGGACATATTGTGTCTGTACAGTGAGCAGATATTGTCTTTAAGTTCTGGTTCCGCTAACCCTTTGAGGGGGGGTTCTATCAAAGCTCCGCCCTAGAGGAACTCTAAGCTGGAGAACTCCAGTGACAGTCTCAGCCTCGTCATTTACCTCATACTGACTTTTGAAGAAACTCGTGTCGAACGCCAGAGCCAACTTCTTCTTCTTCTTCTTCTTGCCATTCTTCTTGTGGAGAGTAAAAAGATGCAGAAAATCATCAGATCTCCTTTTCCTAGATGCACAGAACCCCCTACACCCCCACAGTGCACACAGAAACCCCTACACCCCCACAGTGCACGCAGAACCTCTACACCCCCACAGTGCACACAGAACCCCCTACACCCCCACAGTGCGAACAGAACCCCCTACACCCCCACAGTGCACGCAGGACCTCTACACCCCCAGAGTGCACGCAGGACCTCTACACCCCCAGAGTGCACACAGAACCTCCTACACCCCCACAGTGCACACAGAAACCCCCTACACCCACACAGTGCACACAGAACCTCTACACCCCCACAGTGCACACAGAACCCCCTACACCCCCACAGTGCGAACAGAACCCCCTACACCCCCAAAGTGCACGCAGGACCTCTACACCCCCAGAGTGCACACAGAACCTCCTACACCCCCACAGTGCGCACAGAACCCCCTACACCCCCACAGTGCACGCAGAACCCCCTACACCCCCATAGTGCACGCAGACCCCCCCTATACCCCCACAGTACACACAGAACCCCCTACACCCCCACAGTGCGCACAGAACCCCCTACACCCCCACAGTGCACGCAGACCCCCCCTATACCCCCACAGTACACACAGAACCCCCTACACTCCCACAGTGCACACAGACCCCCTACACCCCCACAGTGCACACAGACCCCCCTACACCCCCACAGTGCACACAGACCCCCTACACCCCCACAGTGCACACAGACCCCCCTACACCCCCACAGTGCACACAGACCCCCCTACACCCCTACAGTGCACACAGACCCCCTACACCCCCACAGTGCACACAGACCCCCCTACACCCCCACAGTGCACACAGACCCCCTACACCCCCACAGTGCACACAGACCCCCCTACACCCCCACAGTGCACACAGACCCCCCTACACACCCACAGTGCACACAGACCCCCCCTACACCCCCACAGTGCACACAGACCCCCCCTACACCCCCACAGTGCGCAGTGGTATCCCTTCCCTTCTGTCCAAAGCTATGAAAATAATTTGTTCATTTCTACACTTTATCTCTCTGATGGACCCACAGGGCTGCGTGTGGTCTGAGTCCCTATCAGAAACAGCTGAGCAGGACATTTGCTGTTGGAGGTGCAGCCATAGACACCTATGGAGCTCCATGAGTCTCTATAGAGGAAGTTAGAACCTCCCCCAACAACCGGTCCCCTATAGCCCCTCTGATTTCAGATAAGGACTCACACAATACACAGCCGGCTCATGTTTGATGAGATGAGGAATGCGATGGAGGTGGAGTCATAGATATCCAATGAGCTCTATGAGTATCTGTAGCGGAAAGATAGAACCTCCCCCAACAACCGGTCCCCTATAGCCCCTCTGATTTCAGATAAGGGCTCACACAATACACAGCCGGCTCATGTTTGATGAGATGGGGGATGCGATGGAGGTGGAATCATAGATATCCAATGAGCTCTATGAGTATCTGTAGTGGAAGATAGAACCTCCACCAACAACCGGTCCCCTATAGCCCCTCTGATTTCAGATAAGGGCTCACACAATACACAGCCGGCTCATGTTTGATGAGATGAGGGATGCGATGGAGGTGGAGCCATAGACACCTAATGAACTCTATGAGCATCTGTAGCAGAGTTTAGATATTTCTCTAATTACCAGCCACCCATAACCATTCTGATTTCAGGTAAGGGCTCAGAGAACACACAGCCAACACGTGTTTGATGAGATGAGGGATACGATGTGCATTCAGTCATAGATACCTGTTGACCTCTATAAATATCTGTAGTGGAAGATAGAACCTCCCCTAACAACCAATCCCCTATAGCCTCCCTGATTTCAGATAAGGGCTCAGACAACACACAGCCGACTCATGTTTAATGAGATAAGGGCCACAATGTGCATTGAGTCATAGATACCTGATGACTTCTGTGAATATCTGTAGTGGAAGATAGAACCTCCTCTAACAACCGGTCCCCTATAGCCCCTCTGATTTCAGATAAGGGCTCAGACAAACACACAGACAATGATGAGATGGGGGATGTGATGGACGCAGGGGCGGACTGACCATTCGAGCACTCGGGTTAGGGTCAGTAGGGGGCCCCATGAAATCCCCCTGTTACATTTTCTATAGGCTTTTTTGGGTGTGCTTTGAGTGTGGGCAAGGACACAGGGGCCCCATGATCCCCTATTGCCCCGGGGGGCCCCATGAGTTGTCAGTCCACCCCTGGATGGACATGAAGCCATAGATACCCACTGAGTCTCCTGACTATCCATAGCAGAAGTTAGAACTTCCCCTGACAACCCAGTCCTCTATAGCCTCCCTGATTTCAGATAAGGGCTCAGACAACACACAGCCAACAAATTTGATGGGATGAGGGATGCAGTCATAGATACCTGTTGACCTCTGTGAATATCTGTGGGGGATGTGATGGATGTGAATACCCACTGAACCTCCTGACTATCCATAGCAGAAGTTAGAACTTCCCCTGACAACCAGTCCCCTATAGCCTCCCTGATTTCAGATAAGGGCTCAGACAACACACAGACAATGATGAGATGGGGGATTTGATGGACGTGAAGCCATAGATACCCACTGAGACTCCAGACTATCCGTAGCAGACGTTAGAACCTCCCCTGACAACCCAGTCCCCTATAGCCTCCCTGATTTCAGATAAGGGCTCAGACAACACACAGCCCGCTCATGTTTGATGAGATGAGATTGGTGTATAATATACAGAGAGGGAATGTATGTATTACAATAAATCACTCACCTCCTTCTCCTCCTCCTCCTCGTAGGTGGATTCTGAAGAATTGAATCCAGAAACTTCAACATCCCCCAGAAGGATGACCCCCCCCTCGCCTCCTCTGCAGCATGGATCATGAAGCATCTGGTGGCCACTTGTAGGTTGGTGACCTGCTGCACCGCATCGCGGAGACTCTGGAGGGGAAAGGCAATAGATATGAAATGTAATTTGTTACGGCTCTGAGACCCAAATTCTTATGATGCAAATATTAAATATCTCCATCCATGTGATGCCGGCAGACGGCAAGCACTCTGAATGCTCCTTCAGGCAGCTCCTGTGCTATAAAAGAGTCCCGAATGGACTCAGAGGAGCGACGATTGCCCGCCCTCCCAATCATGTGATTCAGGTGTTCCAATCCCCTCCAATCATGTGATTCAGGTGTTCCAATCCCCTCCCAATCATGTGATTCAGGTGTTCCAATCCCCTCCAATCATGTGATTCAGGTGTTTCCAATCCCCTCCATATCATGTGATTCAGGTGTTCCAATCCCCTCCCAATCATGTGATTCAGGTGTTCCAATCCCCTCCAATCATGTGATTCAGGTGTTCCAATC